TCATCTCCATGTCCTGCCCTACACTCTGTGGTCAGGCATTTTAATTTGTGACCTTGTAGTATCTCATTGTAGTTTTGATTGGCATTTTCCTAATCACAGGTAATACTGAGTATGTAGATCAGTTTGGAAAGTAGCATTCTTTTAGCAATATGAATCTTCTGATATGTAAGCATTTGTTTTCATTTATTTTTTTAGTCACATATACACATAACTTTTTTAGCAGCAACATAAACTGGAATCAGTTACTTCAGCCATCACCTCTAATAAGGGAGGCTCAGGCAAGAGGAACAGAACATTAAGAGACTGACGAAAATACCTATCTCTTTGCCTTCTTTCTCTCAAAAAAGGAAAAAAAAAAAGAACAAAAGTAATAATGTAGATATCATTTTATAAACTCTCGTTTATTGATATTTTCCTCTCCATCATAACTAATTATTCTACCAGTTACATTAGAAATCTAGGAAGCAATATAAGGTTGAAATAAGACACTTACGTCATTACTTCCTTTAGTGACCCAATAGCTTTTTCTAAAGTGCTTTTGTCAGGATTGTCATCGGCTGTGTGCTTCTTAAGATCTGTGATAATAAATGGTTTTTTTCATGATTAAAAAAAAATCAGTGTTTTTATTTTTTCATCGAAAACTTAAAAATATCCACCTCAAAACAGGCTCTATAGTAAACTAATACAATAAAAAGTTAAAAAAAAAAGAAAAGATACTGATGCTGCCCTATAAGTACTATGTAAACAGCCCAAAGTAAAGGATTATACATAATTTTAACTTCGTAAAAACTCACTTGCTAAAAAACTCCCTTCTATGAACATCAGTAGTTTAATAAATAGATTTTAGGTTTCAAGACAGTTCTAAACATTCTTAGGTAGAAAAAGGCAAGCATAAAACCATGTATACAGAACTTTATTAAAGTTCAGAGAAGTACTAAAAACTGAAGACATATTATGACCTTTCTTTGTGATCTGTTGGTGAAGGTCATGTGCATTTGGATGGACTGATTTTGGATGACACACAATGAAAAATAAGATTTTATGTAGGAGAAGAATTGCAATTTTAGTCAATATAACTGAAAGCAGAAGAAATAAAGTATTTCAGGCCAGACTGAGTTTTTGTAGCACCAGTGACTATTTTTAAAGATTATCCAAAAAAGATGTTTTCTATTTAAAAGACGCATAAACTCTAATGCTGAAATCTAAGAAATTTTGAAAATGAGAAGAATTCCAACCATTTTTTTAGAAAAATGTAATTCCATGAAAATATCTGAAGTAGCATGAAAGCAGATTAGACAAGTACCATTTAAAAGTAACGCCACACTAGGTAATCTCTGCACTGGTCGGATGAGGAGTTCAACAAGGCTTTGCCGTCCACATTCTGGTTTAGCTTGGTTTATCTGGAAAATTTATTAAACAATTTAAAAAGATTTCCTGCAAAGATTAGACACCCTACAAATTAGATACACTTCATCATGAGTAAGAACCAAGATAGGAGGTAGAATGGCTGCTGTTCCCTGGCAGATTCTTTGGTTGAATACAATAGCCCCCTGGCCAGACAAGGGTTACATTTGCCAGAAAGTCAGTCTGTCTACACACTTTTACAGACCCCAACTTTTAAGACTCTCTGAAGCCTAACTCATTCACAAGAAGAAAATAGTCTTATCTATTAACTATGCTGACACCATTGGATGTACAAAGTAATGTACAAGAGTAAAAGAATAAAATACTAAAGGCAAAACAAAATCTCATTGGAAAAGTTTATGGTACTTTGAGAGCTACATGTTTAGCTTTTAAAAAATAATAATAACCATATATAATATTCCCATTCATTTAGCAGCCTCTTGAACCCTGCTACCTGCAATGAAATTCTCTTAGGCTAAACATCATTGTCACCCCCAGGCACAACTAAAATGAACAGATAATATTAAGGTGTTCTTACATAGACACATTTTTATTCAAGTTATAATTTACTTATTTTTTTTTTATAAATTTAAATCCTTCAGAAATGATTCTCAAGTTTCTATTTGAAAAAAAAGTATATGAATTACCTTCAGAAAGGCATGAAATCTTGGTTTCTGTTTTTCACATTTAATAATTGTTTCCTTGCTCATTTCAAAGAAGTTCACAAAGGGAGGGTAAGTTTTTACCAAATCTTTTGACTAGGAAGACAAAAAGGGAAAAAAAAATGTTATCCATGTCACCCTTAGACAATGAAACTTTTAAAGTAAAATAATCAATAGTCACAATCTGACATATTGGATCTAAATTAAATTTTAAAGTAAGCTTTTTCTCAAATGAAATACAGAAATGTATCTTATAAACTTCTCAGTATAACATGAGTTAACTTTTGAACAAAATGCATCAATTAGTAAACATAGTATAAAACTCAAAAAAAGGTAGAAAAAAAAAGTATATCAAAGCTTATTGTATTGACATAATGTGACAAAAAATTTCTAACTTTTTTTATTGCCAGAGGGCCCATTCACTTGAGAGAGAGCAAGCAAGAGTACCCCCAATGGGCCATGGTCATACTGCAATCCCTTCTCCATGCTATCAGGATTTTGGACATGCACACCTATGTACTCCATGTATTTTTCCAGTTGCCAGGGCCAGTATTCAAAATCCACTTAGCCACATGGGATCTAGCTCCCTTAACTAGTATGCTTCAGAGCCAGTCCAATTTTTAAACATTTTAAGTTCAGAAAATATTAATTAGAAATTATCTATGCAGAAACCAAGACCTACTAATTACTTATTGAAGAATCTAATTTATCATTAAGAGATTATATTTACCCAAAAATGTCTTGGCCAACTGAAGAGATAACAGGTTCCAAAAAATATATAGCAAGAAAATACATACTTGAAATTCTCAACCATCCAGAAAAAACATCTAAGAAACTATATAGAGAGATAGACACCCTAAAAAACAATCAAATAGAATTCTTGGAAAGATTATAATACAAGAAATTAAAATCTTGCTTGAAAGAAGAATGGACCATACAGAAAAAAGAATTTTTGACCTTGAAGATAAGTCTCAAACCACCCCCCAAAAAATGAGGATAACATATGGGAAATTCTGGATACCATTAAATACCCAAATAGTCATGTAATGGGTATTCCAGAAAGTGAAGAAGCTGGTAAAGGAGTGGAAAACCTTTTCCAGGAAATACTATCTGAAAACTTTCCAAATCTAGAGAAACAAGAAGAAATTCAAACCCAAGAAATAAAAAGAACTTCAAATACTATCAACATAAAAGATCCTCTCCCGGCACATCATAGCCAGATCGGCAAAAATCAAAGAGAAAGACAATATTCTAAAACTGACAAGAAACGTCAAGTTATAATACTTACCAAGGTTATCCTATCAGGCTAACATCAGACCTCTCAAGTGAAACAATGCAGGCAAGAAAAGAATAAAATGTATTCAAAACATTAAAAGAAAAGCAATTTCAAACAAGAATACTATACCTGGCAAGATTATCCTTCAAATGGGAAGAAGAAGTAAAATCATTCTCAGATAAACAAAAACTGAAAGAATTCTCTAACTCTAGGTCAGCTCTTGAAGAAGTACTGAAGGGGGTATCATAGCAGGAAAACTAGAGTTAGCATAATGGAAATAAAAGAACAACAACAACAACAACAAAAAAAAAACAGCCAAGAAAATATGGCTATCAAAATGGCAGGGATAAACCCAAAAATATCAATAGTAATATAATGAATGTCAATGGATTAAATTTAATTAAAAGACACAAATCGGCTAAACAGATTGAAAAAAAAAAAAAAAAAAAAAAAGAGCCCCCTATAATGCTGCTTACAAGAAACACATTCATTGATAAAGATATACATAGACTGAAAAGGAAGGGTTGGAAAAAAATATTCCATGCAAAAGGAAGTCGAAAAATGACTGGGATCATAATACTGATATCAGGTCAATATATAGGAACTAATTGACCAAGAAGTATTGCACTTATAAATATCTGTTCACCTAACACTGGAACACCCAACTATGTGAAAGAGAGACTATTAGATCTAAAGAGAGCGAGACTGCAACACAATGCCCCACTGTCTCCTCTGGACCAATCACCTAGACAAAAAATAGATTTAAGATCTAAATGATACCATAAATCCAACAGATTGACAGACATCTATAGTACATTTCACCCAACAACCAAAAATACACCTTTTTCTCACCCCTACATAGAATGTTTTCTTAGATCGACCATATGATAGGGCACAAAAACAAGCCTTTACAAATTCGAAGGTACAGAATCTATACCCAGCATCTTTTCTGACCACAATGGAATCAAACTTGAAATCAATTACAGAAATGACCCTCAAAAACATACAAACACATGGAAAGTAAGCAACCTACTTCCAAATGCCTTCACAACCACTGAAGAAATTAAGACTGAAATCAAAAGGTCATTGAAACCAACGATATAATGAACACGCAAGTTTAATAACCTATGGGACACAGCAAAAACATTCATTAGGGAAGTTCATAGCAATCATTGCCACAAGAAAAAAAAAAAAAACACAAAGGTAGCAAGTGGACAACCTAATGACACATCTCAGGGAACTGGAAAGGTAACAACAAAAATAAATTAAAAAATGACAGGAGCAAAGAAATAATAAAGATTCCAGCAGAAATAAACGAAATAGAAAATAAAAGAACTATACAGACAATAAGCAAAACCATAAATAAGAGAAAATAAACAAAATTGACACACCATTAGCTAGATTAATCAAGAACAGAGAAAGGAACCAGATAAATCATCAATGAAACAGGTGATACTATAACAGACATAACAGAAATACAAAAGATCATGAGAGAATACTACAGGTAATTAAACACCAATTATTAAGAAAATTTAGATGGACTAATTTCTGGACATATATAACTTAGAGAGATTACATCAGGAAGAAATAGAAAGCTTGAACAGACCAATAACAAGCAATGAAACTGAGTTGCTAACAGTCTCTTAACGAAGAAGAGCCCAGGTCCTGATGGCTTCACTTCCAAATTCTACAAAACTTTTAAAGAACTAATCCTGATTCTCCTCAGACTGTAAAGATCCAAGAGGAAGGAACCATGCCAAATTCATCCTATGAAGCCTCCTTCACACTGATCCCCCCCAAAAGACAAGGAGACAAAAAGAAAAAAAAAAAAGAAAACTACAGACCAATATCTCTGATAAATACAGATACAAAATTCTCAACAAGGAGATCAGCATGTGGCATGGTGGTTAAGGTGGTGGACTCCCACATGGCAAACCATGGTTCGAGTCCCAGACCTGGTGGTTTACTTGCGCGCACACGCGAGTGCACTCTCCCCCTCTCTCTCTGATGAACATATGTGCCCTACAGCAAATTAAGAAAAACAAATAAATAATTATTTTTTTAAAATTCTTAAAGGGATACTAGAAGCTAGTATCCAACAACATATTAAAAAGATTATTCACCATGATCAGGAAGGCTTTATTCCAGGGATGCAAGGCAGGTTTAACATATTCAAAACAATAACGTAATTTATCAGATTAACAGAAGGAAAAATAAAAAGCATATGATCTTATCAATCAATGCATAAAAGCATTCAATAAAATACAACATCCCTTAAGGATAAAGACTGAGCAAAATGAGCATAGAGGGGACATTCCTCAGCACAGTAAAAGCCATCTATGACGAAACCATTGCTAATACCACTAAATGGGGAAAGCTGAATGCTTTTCTACTAAATACTGGAACAAGACAAGGCTGTCCTCTTTTTCCACTCCTTTTCAACATACTAGGTTGCTGAAAAAGTCATAAACTTATTTTTTCATGTTTTTCTATGCAAAAATGTGTCATGACTTTTCTGACAACACAATAGTATTGGAAGTCCTAGCCAATGCAATCTTAAAGAAGAGTTAAAAAAAAAAAAGAGTAAAATAAAAGGCATTGGAATAGCAAAAGAAGTGAAATTATTTTTATTTTCGGTGATGATTATATTTATAGACAAATCAAAAGTTACTTACCAAAAAAAGACTCCTAGACGTGATAAACAAGCACTTAAAGTGGTAGGATATAAAATCAACATACAAAAATCAATAGGATTTTTATACTGCAACAGTGAACAAACTGAGACAGAATTGAAGAAAGCAACCCCACTTACAATAGCCACAAAAAATATAAATACCTAGGACCTACAAGGAAAACTATGAAACACTCAAAAAAAAAGTTGAAATGATAGAAAAAAGGAGGGGAAAATCCCATGTTCTTGAATTAGAAAAATTAATATAATCAAAATGTAAATCCTACTCAAATTAATCCACGAATTCAATACAATTCCAATCAACTCAATGCAATACCACAGATATTCCTCACAGAAATAGAAAATAATAATCATAAAGTTTGCCTGCAATCATAAAAGGCTCCAATCACCAAACCAGTACTATGCAAAAAAAATAAAGGTGTCTCCCTTCCTGACCTTAAAATATATTACAAAGCTACGCTAATCAAAATAGCATGTTATTAGCACAAAAAGAGGCAGGTAGATCAATTAAACAGAGCTGAGAACCCAAAAATAAACCCCAAAACATACAGCCAACTTATCTTTGATAAAAGGCACGGGACAATCCAGTGGGGAAAGGAAAAACCTCTTCAGCAAATGGTGCTGGAAAAAAAGGATATCCAACAGCAAAAAAATAAAGAAACTGGAACACTATCCCTCACCGTTAACAAAAACTAACTCAAAATGGATCAAGGGTCTAAACATAAAACCTCAAACTATAAAACTATTGGTGAAAAACACAGGGAAAACTCTTGAAGACAGGCAAAGACATCTTAAAGAGGATCCCCAAAGCATAAGCAATATTTCAAAAAAAAAAAAGAGACAAATGGGACTACATTAGGCTAAAAATCTTCTGCACAGCAAAAGAAACAATAACTAGAATGAGTAGACAACCCTCAAAGTGGGAGAATATATCTGCAGACTATGCCTTGATAAGGAACTGATAACCAGAATAGATAAGGAACCCGTTAACCCACAAAAAGATAATCAATCCAATCAAAAGATGGGCAAATGAGCTGAACAGACAACTCTCCAAAGGAAGACATTATGAACGGCCAAAAGCATATGAAAACATGCTCAACATCTCTTATTGTAAGAGAAATCCAAATCAAAACCATATTAAGACCACTTAACTCCAGTCAGAAGGACTAAGATTAAAAAAATAAAGAATGCTAAGTGCTGGCGAGGCTGTAGTGGAAAGGGAATTCTCCTACACGGTTGGTTGGAATGTGAATTAGTACATCACTGTGAAGAACAATAAGAGGTTTCTCAGAAACCTACAAATAGAACGACCATATAATCCAGTAACTCCACTCTTAGATATCTACCCAGAAGAGAGAAAAACCTTCAGTCAGAAAAAAACACTTGCATGACCATGCTTATTGTAGCATTATTTATAATTCCGAGGACATGGGATAAACCCAAATGTCCAAGAAAAGACAAATGGATGGAAAAAATGTGGCACATACACTCTGTAGAACACTACTCAGTCATAAAAAACAATGAGACCTTGACATTTGATACAAAGTGGACAAATACGGAAGATTAATGCTAAGTGAAGCAAGCTGGACTATGAAAGACAGGCAGGCATTACGTGTCCCGACTCAGTACATACCAAACATCAGCACTATAGCAGAAACTGAAAAATTTTAGGATATAATAGCAGGGAGGGCAACTGTAAATACTAGAGACAGTATGATGGGTAATAGAGGGTGGAAAGAAGGCGATCAGGAAAAAAAACAACACATTTAATACACACAAAAATGAAGTTATCTGCTGATGATAATGTATATGGTAATGTCTTTGGCTTGACTAATATGTATTGTATTCATGTTGGGAAAAAACCACATTGTACACTGTAAAAATATATTGTAATTAAATGTAAAGTTTTAAAAAACGAAAAGAGGGACCAGCAGATGGCATAATGGTTTCATTGCTGGACTCCCACATAGTAGACTGCAATTCGAGTCCAGACCCAGAGGCTTAAAACCTCACACCAGCACAAGTGTGTGCATGCCCAACATCCCAGGAGGAAAATGGAGGAGAAGGGATGGTGGCATGGCCATCCCCACTGAGGGGTGATTTCTCACTTTCTGTCTCTTTGTCTCGCTGGTGAGCACATGCACCTTATAGCAAAAAAAAAAAAAAAAAAGGAAAGAACTATTAAGTCATCAGGAAAGTTATGATCTATTTTTCTATGGTTTTTCTATACAAAAGTGAGTCATGACTTGGAAGTAGGGGAAAATCCTCAAAAAACAAAAGTGTATGTGCCATGCCAGTTGTTAAAACACTGAAACTTATAAATTCTATTCAAAAACTTATAAATGTGGTTCATAAAACTTTATCAAAATGACTCATAAATTTAAGCTATCTGGTTCTTATTCTGATGAGAAAGAAAAAAAGAGCAGCTAATTTGAAGTCGTTAAGCAGAAACAGACATAATGACACCAAAAAGTGTTATCAACTAAGAAAAAATAATATAGGAAATTTCAAAGAATTATTAACCTGTGATCATTTGAAAAAGGCAAATAACTTGATATAGTAAAATGATCTTCAGGTTTTAAGACAATGTTAAATTGCACATAAGAAAGCATGTACAGTAGACAAGAACATTTCTAATATATTTTATAAACACAACCAAGTCAAACTTTTAAAACCTTTCACATTTAAACAGGTAAATTTCATTCCCTGCTAGTCCTTGAAGAGATGATACTTTAATCTGAAGACTTTAAGAAATAAAATACTTACATATTTAAGAAAGATGTCACCAATGCTTTTGCTCTCATCCCAATTAACAATTAGATCTTCAAGATCATCCTGAAATATCAAAAGTTGAAACATTTTAAGATAAATATGATGGCCCCTTATACATCTTTAAATATCATTGAGATAGGGGCCAGCAGGTGGTACTGGTTAGACTCCACAGAGTTGACAGTGGTTCAAGTCCTGGACCTGGTGACTTAAACTCATGTTGGGGACGTGTGTGCTCCAAATCCCAAGAGAAGAATGGGAGAGAAGTGATTGTGGGATGGCCATCCCAGTTAGGGGGTGATTTCTCGCTTTCTGTTTCTCTTCTCTGTCTCTCTGGTGAGTGTACACACCCTATAGCAAAAATCTTAAATAAATACATGAATAACTTATTAAGATCATTATTGGAGAGAGAATCACTTCACAGTGTCCTAAGTTTCTTTATAAAATTATTTTCTTTCTTTCATTAGCAAGCACAAGGCAGAAACAGAGAGACAGACATCCTTGACAGGATCTCATCATGCTACAGTCCCCCGCCATCAGACCTCCAGCAAGACAGGTTCTTGGGCACTCAGGCTCGGTGTGTCATGTAGACTAGGGATGCACACCCACATTCAGTCACATGGTTTCCACCACCACAGATCTGCACATTACCACCTGATGGGCCATACAAAATGTTTTAATTTAATGTGCAAAGCAATACCCCATTCCTTCTCAACAAGAATTAGCTTTTTGACTGCATAGAAAATATCATTTTAAAAACAATACAAATAACATAAAGTCAGTAAGAGTAAGCCTAACTTCCCAATATGATGTTACTATCTTTTATTAACTTTAAAGCTTAATTGGTGGTATTATAATAGAAAACAGTTTCAATACTGATGCTGAAGCATCTTATTTAGCATTAGTCTTTAAAAACTGTGGTCCGGCTGGCTCCATCAGTAACGCACCACTCAAAAGAAGCTAATTCCACGTGGCGACTGTAATTTTGTGATTTGGGTCTCTGGCCCTGCCAGCCTGAGACTGCGCATGCTCGCAGGTGCCCAACATTCCACGGCACGGGAGACTGGAGGAAGGGACTGCAGCAAGACCAGGCCTTGCGTGCATGTCTCTGTCTGTCTGTCTGTCTCTCTCTCCTGTCACTCTCACGTGCGTGTGCACACTCTACTAGAAATAGAAAAAAAAAAATTTTAATTCTTCATAGTCATTCTAAAATATCGAATATTTGTAAAAATTTTGAAGACACTTAAAAACTTTAAGACATAATAAATCACAAATCAGAGGACGAAACAAAATGTCAAGAAATGGCACACCCTCATTGAAATCCTAGGTGATTCAAAAGCAGAAATCACTCAGTAGTCTTATACCTCAAGTTCTCAAAGTGTCATCCCTGGGATACCCTTTTAATGGGACCTATGAGAGTAAAACTATTACAACAGTAAGGCTTTATTTGAGTTTTTTCACTTTTATTCTCTCACAAATACACAGTAGTTTTCTAGAGGCTGCATAATGTGTATTACAGCAGACTGAATGCGAGACAGTCTGAGTGAACGAGGGCCCAGCTTCCGTGCCACAAGAGGGAAGGTGCTGCTGCATGATGCTGGAGCCCCCGAGAGGTGCCGGTTCCATTCCTGGACTAACCTAAGCATACCAGACAGCTATGTGCACTTGTAATGACAGTTAGCTAAGCAGCTGGGTAGGAAGTTCAGGAAATGGCAAAATCTCTCACAAAAAAAATACCTATATCTCTCTATCTCTATCTTCAAAAAGAGAAAGAAAGAAAGGCAGGCAGGCAGGCAGATTGGGGTGACAGAGGGTGACATGGCAGTAAAGCACACAACTCCAAGACTGAACCACATGGCAGAGTTCCAGGTTCACATACAGAGCCCTCCATGAACATGCCAGGCACACGTGTGCCTATGACCCAGGCAGGGGGTGGGTTGTGGTATTAAGATCCTTTTGGAGGTACTCTCTGCCTCTCTCACTCATGGAAGAAATAAATAAATACATGTTTTTAAAACAAGGAGCTAAAAATAACACACCAAAAAAACGGAAAGAGAAAAGGCCATATAAAAACCAGACTTCTAGGGCTAGCAGGTGACGTGGTAGTTAAGGGGGTTGGACTCCTACATGGTTGATTGTGGTTCAAGTCTCAGACCTGGCAGCATGCTTTCTCACTTTCCCCTTCTATCTCACTCCCTCTGTCCCTCTCTGGTCAAATGAAAACAAATAAATAAATTTACATAAAATAATTCTTAAAGAAAAAAAAAAAAAACTGTCTTCTGGAGTCAGCCCATGAAAAAAAAAAAAAAAAAAACTGTATTCTGGAGTCAGCCCATGACTTGGTGGTTACGGTAGCTGGATCATACATAGGTGACTGCATGGGTCAAGTCTCAGACCCAGAAGCTTGAAACACACACCAGAAACATGAGTACATGTGTGCAAAATCCCAAAAGGTGGCAGAAATGAAGAGACTGCAATGCAACCATGCCCCATGGGGGGTGGTTCCCACTGTCTCTCTCTGTCTCATTCTGGCAAGGACACATGCCATCTGTAAATATATATACAGATACATACAACACATACATACACACATACATATATTCATACATATTAGGTCATCAGGAAAACCACGACATATTTTTCTGCTTTTCTATGCAAAAATGCATCATGAGTTTCCCAACAACTCGATACAAAATGTACATGTACATTTATATTTATTTATATAAATAATAAGTATTCTGGGTCAGCCTGTGGCAGGCACTTGAGTGAGCTGGATCCCACATGGCTTAAAACTCATGCTGGGTGTGTGTGTGCGTGCATGCCCAAGATCCCAAAAGGAGAATGGAGAAGGGGTGGCATTGTGGCCATCCACTTTGAGGAGTGTTTCCTGCCGTATAGCAAAAATCTCTCTTTAAAAAAAAAAAAAAAAAAGGTAAACTAGTCTGAAATTATTAACTTTTTATGCAAATACAAATTCAGTTTCTCTTTTAGAACTAGAAATTAACTGACTCTGATGGAGGATTTTGATAAATTACAAGTATTTGCCGACTGAATTTTTACTAACGTATTTATATTTCTGCTTAAACGCATACTAAAATTCAAAGCAATTTAGTATATCTGTTTGAAAACATTCTATAATTCACATTGATCCTTTTACTGGGATGTGGAATACATGGGTTGTTTTAAGGAGAAAACTGATCAATCCTGTTCAATTACCAATAAGAAAAATAAGACAAAACAAAGAAAACTACTTTTCAGGTAAGTAGTTTAAGAGTTTAGTTAAACCTGAAATTACTTTAAGAGTGAACATGTACACCTGGAAATCATACCACTTCATCAAAAGAAAATCATTTATTTATTTATTTTAAATTTAGAAGTGACTTTTACTTTATGTCATTGTATACATTCAGTCATTGTACCTCACTCAACTTGAAAGGGAACTTACCCAGCATGAATACACTTCACACCAGTCCAGCTGAGGATGCTAGACACGTTGCATCAACAATCACCAATTTCTGTGTCCCACAAATGCCTCGCCTCTCTACTTTTCTTCTTGATTTCATTCCTCACTCCCCTCCTTCCCCCACACTGTCTCCAGTACCCATAACCATTTTCCATGCTTCTATATCCTCTGACCTTCCGTTTCTGCTAGAGAGTGTGGAAAGTTGGTATATGTTAAGTAGATGGCATTGCTTTTTATGGTTTGGGCATTTATCTAGCTATAAATAGAGAAATTAATCAAATGACTGCTAGGTATCTTTACTTAAGTTTTTCAAACTAACCAAACCAAAGCAAAAACATGCAACCATATCAGTAAAAAAAGAAAAAAAGTATTATAAGCTATATGTCTCAATAAGAATGAATGGAATAAAAGAACTAATGGAAATTTAAAAAGAAAAACAGGCGAACAACTAACATTTATTAATAATGCACTAAAACAAAAGGACAAAAGATTCAAAGAAACAAACGAGGGAGTAAAAAGTTTTAGGTACAAAACTTATTTAGCTAATCAGAAATGCCTAAGAGATCACAATAGATACACATAATCAAAACAAAAATCTATTGAGCTAACATACACATTTACCTTTATTTTAGTGTGCACATCAAAGATATCTGGGATGCTCCCAAAAATAGTCTTAATCTCTTCTGAGGCAAGGATGGGCCCACCACGTTGTCCCTCCTCTTCCAATGGTACTTGAAATAACTACATGGAAAAAAGATTAGTTTAAATACATTATGGGAAAAGAAAAAAGCTAAAATATAAGCAATGATAAATAAGAGATGAAATGTTCATGGTGAAAGAAAAAAGCAATTAAAAAAGAATCCCCAATTCTGAGGCAGTTTCTCTTGTAACATTTTCTATTTTATTCATTTATAAACTATATGAGTGTGTACTCACTCACACATTCACATACTTATCTATATACACACACACTTTCATTCTCGTTAAGAAATGTTATATTCAAAGTAAGTAAAAGTTGGGGGACCAGCAGATAGCATTAATGGTTATGTCGCTGGACTCCCATGTAGTCAAACGGCCTTTCGCGTCCTGGACCTGGCAGCTTGAAACCCACGTGGGGCACATGTGCTTGCCTCTGAAAACCCCAAGAGGAAATGGAGAAGGGATAGTGCATAGCCATTCCCCCTGGTGGGGCATGATTTTTCGCTTTCTTTCTCAAGAAAATCATAAGCAAACAGTTACTTATATATCTAATATAAGTACCAAAGTGTTTTATAAATGGTAGCAAAGAAAGTTGGTTTAGGAAAAGAGACTAGCTTTGAAGCTAGAGGACCTGATGTATTCATGTTGTTGCTTGTATTAACCTAAAAAACTAAAATAAGAACTCCAAGAATGAGTTTAGCGAAGATCGATGTACGTGCCGGTGCACGCGCACACTCATGCTGAACCAGTTAGTTACATGTCTACACGCCAGTGATGCACAAGTGGAAACGGAGTATCTAGAAAGCACAACCACTCACGATATATATCACAATACTTGGGTGTAAATAAATGTGCAGCGATATGGAAAACTTATCCTTCTAAAACACGAGTCAGATGCCACCTTCGATGCAGATCAAACTCGCACTGCAGACGTGAGGACGTGACTGAGCACTCCTCGCCAGGGCCTCTCTGGCAGCCCCAGCTCTCGCAGCTCGCACGGCCCACCTTCCCCTCACTCCTCATGCAGCCTCAGTTGTCTTGTTTGCTCAGTCTCAGACAGACTTCCTGCCCATGGTTTCTGCACAGACCAATGAGACTAAAACTCTTCCACTTTAGCTTCTTCGTGACGTTTTCCCAATGCACTACCACGGAAAATTTCGGTCGAATACTTCCCTAACCTGCAAGACTAGTAAAACTCTCCCTTCAAGTGCTCATAAACTTTCACTTGGTATTACAATCAGGTGTGCATATTTTTTTTTTAAGATTTATTTATTTATTTAATTTTGCTACAGATCATGTGTGCTCACAAGAGAGAGAGACAAAGTAAGAAAGCAAGCCACCAGTTTCTGCGGTCAGCCACATGAGAGTCTAGAGCCTTGACTACTACTCCGCCTGCTGGTCCAGGTGAATACGCTTCATCCCCTCCTCAAGTCCAAGCTTCTGTAAAACTGAAATTCTCTTTACACCTGGCAGAGCACTTCATATTAATCAGGCATCTGAGTATCATACAGAATAAACAAAAGAGTTCCTGGATATTAATTTACTTTGGGAGATAAGTTAAAATTAAGTTATTCCAAAACCATTTCTAAAACAAGAGAAGACTAGTTTCTAGGCCTAGTGATTAAGGGAGCCAGATCCCACATGGCCAACCACAGAGTTCAAATCTCAGCCCAAGTGGCTTGAAAAACACAGCAAGCACATGTGTCCAACGCTGACAGGATGGAGAAACAGGGGAGACTGCAGCATGACGCTGCTCCACTAGGCAAGGGGGACTTTTCCCCTTCCCTCCTTCTCTCCCTGTCCCTCTGGCAAACACATATGCTCTCTGGCTTATTAAAAAAGAAGAGAAAATATCAGTCTTAAAAGAAAATAAATATTAAAGAGAACAGTATCATTATTTAGGCCACAATCTTTTAAATAAAACCTTGGCTGAGCTAATACCAGCAGAGGGGTATGAAATTTTGTTTCTAGTCTAATAATTTCATTGGCTTTTTAAAAAGGAGCTTTAGTGAATTTAACTGATATGCAAATTAGACTTCTGAAACGTCAGTGCATTTTGCCATGGCCTGAAAGGATCTACACTTCTAGGTAATAAATGCCACCAAAGTACATGAGTGGTATATGCCGAAGGGATTTTCTGCTACTCAGCCACATTTTGGCTCACTATAAAAACTTCAAGAAACTCATCTAGGATGATTTCCCTGAGGAAGAACAAAGCTGACTTAAAGCAAGTGAAGTTTAACACAGCAGAGGGCCCCATAAACCTTGCCTACTGCTAAACAAACAAAAAAAAATCTACGACCACTACAAAGGAAAACTTTCCATTTTTTATCCACGCATTTTATAATGATACAAGTAACTAAAAGCTATCAGATGGGACCTTCACGAGTGACTGCAAGAATCAAGGGCCAGCTGGCGATGTGGAGGTTAAAACAGCCGGATCCCACGGGCCAACTGTGCGATTCACACCCCAGACGCAGCAGTTGGAAGGCGCACCAGGTGTGTGTGTGCACGTGTACCCAAAATCCCTAAAACAGAAATGCAGAGGGGAGTGCAGCGTGGCCATCTCCACTCAGGAGTACTTTTTCACTTCCCCTCCCTCTATGTCTCGTATGTACTTTTACCTATTAATAAATAAAAAAGAATTAAAATAAAGATTTAAAACTAATCCCAAATCAAAACCTCCTTTATCACTTTCTACTCAAAGGCAAAGTTGCTAACATCACTGTATTACCATTACCTAAAACAAACCTATTAATAGTCCTTCTTTCCACAGAATGTCCTATTGTCTTTCAGGTTTTGAATTTTAGTTTTATTCCTTAATATTATTCTATAAAAATTGATTAGAACTGCTTTTCTTTAGAAATACAGCAGATTTTAATGGTGGTAAGCGATGCGTTAACATTTAGTTATGACTAACCCCTGCATACTTCACATACACATAAGAGGATTACTGGAAAAACAGACATCTATATCAGTATGCTTCATTATTATTTAGACAATCTTTCTCAGACACATAAAGTAGTAACGAAAGCAATTACTCTACAACAAATGCTTCCAGAAAATGTTATCTACTCTACTGAGGATTTTTCTCTCTGTAAACTGATTATTTAATTGGCCAGTTCGTGGCCAAGTGGTTAAGGGAACCAAACTCCACAGGGCTAACTGTGGTTCAGGTTCTAACCCAAGTGGATTCAATCGTGCCAGGCATGGATGTGAGTGCCCCAAATCCCAACAGAAGGCAAAGGTAAGGAAGAGACTGGAGTTTGAGCACACCCTTTGTGGGGAAGGCCACACTCTGTCTCTTAGGTAAGCACATGAGCCCTCTAATACTGAAAATACGGTCATCAAATAACAACAGTGCTATTTCTAGAGGAGTAAAAGGAACCACAGGGTGGAGCATCCTTTATCTGAAATGTGAGACCAGAGTGTCTGGATTTCAGACTCTGAAACATTTAAATCAACACAAGGAGAAACCTTGCGGATGGAACGCAAGCCTAAACAGGAAATGTGTTTCTACTTCACATACACCTTCCACACAGACTGAAAGTATGGCATACCTTGTTTTCGCTTTGCATTTTTTTGACTCTGACCCATCACATGAGGTCAGGTGGAATTTTCCACTTGTGGGGTCATGTCAGCACTGGAAAACTTCCAAACATTGGAGCATCTCTGATTCTTGATTTCTGAATTAGGATATTCAGTCTTTGTGACTGTTATGCCATTCCCCTAACAGTAGTTTTATAATAAATTCTCATTTTTAATATCTATATTTAAGTTGTATGCATTTATATAATCTTGTAGGAAATATCTTTTAGGAGACCAGCAGTTGGCGTAATAGCTGTATCGCTGGACTCCCATGCAGTTGACAATAGTTTGAGTACCAGACCCGGTGGCTTAAATTCACGCCGGGCGCGTGTACATGCGTGCCCAAGATCCTGAGAGGAGAATGGAGGAGAAGGGATTGTGGCGTGGCCATCCCCCCTGGGGGTGATTTCTCACTTTCTGTCGCTCTGTCTCTGTCTTTCTGGCAAGCACACACACACCCTATAACAAAAACCTCTCTCAAAAAAAAAAAAAAAAAAAAGAGTATCTTTTAGATTTTTTTTAACTTAGGAACACTGGAACACAACCCAGTTCATACTTACCTGAATAATTGTTGCCAATATATTCACATAATTACTCTCAGTCTGATAGAGCTCTTTGGCAACCTGCCACCTTGCTGACTGCTTTGAAGGAACAGGAGTGGAGGTTTTGGAAGACTTACTACAAGACTTTGGTGTTTCTGAAAGGTAAAAAGAGAAAACACTTAATGAAAGTCAGATATATGTACCAAACATTAAACAGACTTAACAGGAAAGAAAGAAACCTGCTCTTATGAATACATCACGTGATTTCCTAGAGTAAAATTTCCTCATAGTATAAGGCCAGAAAACAAAAAAAATAAGGTCAAGATTATCACTGGCGGGACCAGCAGTTAGCATAATGGCTATGTTGCTGGATTCCCACGTAGTCAACCGCGGTTCACGTCACGGACCCGGTGGCTTAAAACTCACGCCGGGCGCATGTGCGTGCGTGCCCAAGATCCCGAGAGGAGAATGGAGGAGAAGGGATTGCGGCGTGGCCATCCCCCTGGGGGGTGATTTCTTGCTTTCTGTCTCTCTGTCTCTTTCTGGCGAGTGCACACGCCCTATAACAAAAACCTCTAAAAAAAAAAAAAAGATTATCACTGGCTCCCAGGCTGGCCCCATAATGCAATGGTTAAGGAGCCAGATCCAGCAGACCCCAGTTAGAATCCCAGTCCCAGCAGTTTGGAAAGCATGACTGTACATGTAGGTGAGTGCTCAAAATCCTAATGGTCAGGACAAATGAAGGAGAAGGGATTGCAGAGTGTCCACACCCTAATGGGGTGCCATCTCTCCTCCTCCCCACCCTCCCCATGTCACTGTAGAAAAAAAAGAAAGCTAATTCCAAATTGACAGATATTCTACCAAGTAAATGGCCTGTACCCTTAAAAACCCTCCAGGTCACTAGAACCCTACCAGGTCAGAGGGGACAGCAGAAAGATTACCTAACAACATGTGGTCCTGGACGGGATCCCAGACCCGAAGAGCCTTCTATTGCTTTTAAAAAAAAGTGGTATTAGAACTGGTGACATCTGAAGTCTGTGTAATACCTGATAGTATTAATGTTAATTTCCTCACTACAAGAACTGTCATTTAAGAAATGTCCTAGAATTTCGGGAGATAGACATTTAAGTATTCAGAGCTATAAAGCATATCACATCTGCAACTTCCTCTCAAACAGCCCAGGTAGTAAAAAAATTAAAAAAAAAAAATGTGTGTGTATATATAGAGATTTTTTACTGAATATATACTAAGGCAAACCTGGTAGAAGAGTTGGAGAATAAAGGCAGAAAATACAGGAATCTTTGTAATGCTAAAACGACATAGCTTAAAAAATACTGAGGTTAAAGAAGAAGAGAAAAAGGCTGTTTCGGCTGCACAGGGACAACGGCGGGGGGGGCTGGGGCAGAGCGCCAGCACAACCGTCCCACGCGCGGCTGCCTGGAACGCTCAGAGGCAGGATGACTGGCGCTCAGTCGCCCAGGCACGATACCATGGGAAGTTAGGAAGGCGTGGGCAGGATCACGCAGGCTGGAGTCTACAGTAGTACAAAGCTCCTCGAGGGATGACACGATTTAATTTATATATTTTTAAAGACTTCTCTAAGTGCTGCTTGTACAAAGGCAAAAACGGAAAGACTCGACTGCAGTCGTCTGACATGTCACTCAAGAAACTGATAAAGGGAAGGTGGCAAAGGAACAGAGAGGTCGAAAGTGGTGGAGTGGAGAGTTGTAGTCTGGACTGTTGAAGTGAAGATGTCTCTTAGACGTGGACAAAGAGGCGTCAAATAGAGAGCTGGACGGGGAAAGACACACTGGGAGTCATCAGCATGTACATGTTAAAGTCACCAAATTCAGTGAGGTCATTTAGGGGTAACACAATAGAGAAGCGATAGCTCAAGAAACACACATTCAGAGTTAGAGAATTTAAGCAAAGGAGAATGGAAAGTGAGTAATAGATCACAAAAGCCAAGTAAAAAAATTGGCCATTAAGAAGTTTTCATGTGCTGAATGCTACTGATTACATGAAAACTGTCTGTCTCCCCAGCAAGAGCAATTTTATGTATTGGGTCATTAGAAAAGTCATGATCACTTCTGCATACAAAAACAGAAAAAATACACCCTAACTTTTCTGATGGATTGCAGCTCAACTGGCACAGGTTGAAAGGACAATGAGAAACACGGAAATGTGACAATGGATAGAGCTAATTATTTGAAGTATTAACAATTTGCTTTTAAAATAGCTCTAGGGCCAAGTGGTGGCGTGATGGTTAAGGCTCTGGACTTCCACACAGACAATAGGTTTTGAGTTCCAGACCTGGTGGTTTGCTCGCTCGCTCTCTCTCTCTCTCTCTCTCTTTCTCTCTGTTAAGCATGCACTCCCTATAGCAATTAAAAAATAATAATAAATAAAATTAAATAAATAATTCTTTAAAATAAATAAACAGCTCTATCACTCTAGCTGTGTAACCCTGGACATGTTATCTGACTCTCTGTACTTCCATCTAGTCATCTGTAAAACGGGAATAATAAAATCTGTTACTAATACATCAAATACATGAAGCACTTAACATAGAGTGAGCAGTCATTCAACGGAGCATTATTGTGCTCAGCTTGCCATACCTCAGTCAGAACAAGACTAATTAAAAACAAAAGTCTGTCATATTCAGTGCAGCAGAGATTTATGTACACTCTAACAATATCACTGAACTTTAAACATCAGTATTTTCAGGGGCTGGCCTGTGGCCCGGTGATTAAGGGAGCCAGATCCAACATGGCTAAACACAGTTCAAGTCCCATCCCTGTGTACGTGCACGCTCTAAATCCCGACAGGATGGAGAGGACAGGACTGCAGTGTGACCACGCCCATTAGGAGGTGCTTCCTCCCGCTTGCTTTCTGCTTGTCTGTCTGTGGTGAACACAGATGCCTCCCAGTAAATTTAAGAAAAAAAAATGTTAATGTGAATTACCTCCGTAATTAATGCTAGACTCTGGTGTGTTGGAGATATCGAGGAGTGACCCTATAGAAAGGGAATGTTCAGCTGATGGCCGCTTACGGGGAGGGAAAGGTGACAAGTCTGTCTCCCGTGAAAGTTGAGCAAGTGTCTCTTTTAAACGACGTCTTTTGCGAGTGCTGTTTGGTGTATTTAGCGAAAGCAATGACACTGATTTCTTGAGCTCAGGAGTATTAGCCTGCAATCAAAAGCACAAAAGCTCTGTTCTACTTCCACGATTCTTTACCACAGAGACAGGAATAAGAGAACAATGTATTACACAGCTGACAAACTTGGATTTTGCACAGTAATCATACAACCCTACACTCAGCCAGGCAATTCTGAAGCTTCAAAAAGACAATAGTCAAGAGACCAGTGTAATTGTCTAACCCCTAGCACCTAATTACTTTTTCGTTCATAGCACTACAACCATTACATATTCATCTGAAATCTTGTTTATTATTTACTCCTCCCTTAGGCCATAAACTCATGGGGAAGGAGCATTCATGGTCTGTTCACTGGCGTTCAGCACAGTGCTCTTCAGTATTTGCTGAGCTCTCTCCCTAAATCTAAAGCATACTTTTAAAATTTTGTTACAGGGACCACTAGATGGTATTAATGGCTACATTGCTGGAATACCACATGGTTGACTATGGTTCATATCCCCAGACCCAGTGGCTTAAAACTCACACTGGGCATGTGTGTGTGCATGCCCAAAATCCTGAGGAAGAAGAGATTGTGACGTAGCCATCCCCCCAGGGGGTTGTTTCTCTCTTTCTGTCTCTAAGTCTCTCTGGCAAGCACACATGCCATATAGTAAAGGTCTCTCAAAAAATAAATAAATAAATAAAATAATAAAAATCTTTTCTTAAAATGTTTACACTGAGTACAGAAGAATCTAAAAATAGTGCAGTATGGCTCCTATTCAGACTTTATAAAAGCAACAAATCAACATCTGCTCTTCAGTACTCCCCTCATCATCACAGCCTGCTTCTATACCTTTACGGCATTTTGGGGAAAGATGCCCCTCTTCACTGAAATCCAACAAGGCTGGATTTTCTCTGCCTGAATTCTACTGTTAAAAAGTGACATGCCCAAAAGCCCACGAGAACACAGGAGAAGGGATTACAGCAAGGCCATCTCGGAAGGAAAGGGGGGCATTTCTCATTTTCTTCTCTGTCTCTGTCTCTCTCCAGTGAGCACAAGTGCCCTATAGCAAAACTTAAAAAAAAAAAAAAGAAAAAAAGATGTATTAAGTAGTTGCTCTTCTCAGGAGGCTGACTTTGTTCTAACGAGGACCCTAGGAGAATCCCACTTTACTGACGGTTGACTTGACGCAGACCGGGAAGTTTGTGGCCCAAGGTCACACAGCTGGAAAGGGGCAGAGCCAGGACTTAGACGGGAAGTAGCGCTGGAGCCTGCCTCTGTGCACTGCACTGTCCCCAACGAAGGGCACCACACGCAGCACTGCCAGGATTCCGCCCTGCCTGCTTCATGCTGGGCAGCCACTGGGGG